TTTCTTCTCTCTTCTAACCCACAAAACTTCTCTTTCGATAATCTCCGCCTTCTCTTAAGATTTTATTGTTCCTTGGAAGATCAAATCATCTGAAAGTTTGAACAGATGGATGAAGCAGAGTCATAATTAACATTTCTGTAGTCCTAATAGGGAGTACTCAGTCAAGCATCCGATAGCTTTATTCTGCATATATATATGTATATGTAAATGATCTATTGGAACCTTAAATTGTAAGTGACGGTCAAAAGATAAAATCAAATCAAAGTCGGGATCTGCCACATCTTCTCCCTTCTACATTAGTTTAATTAGTATTAATTACAAGCCGCAACGTATTGATTTATACGTCTAATAAAAATAAGGTTTTGCCTTGTCTTTTTGCCATATAATAGACTAATTCTGTCGCCCACATTGTTCATTTGAGCTATTAGTTCCATTGTTATCTAGAGATGCATAATGGGATAACGAAGAAGAGGATTCAAGGTGGAGGGGATGATGGCAGTTAGTAACTAAAGGAAGAAGGTTTAGCCAGCAGCTGCCTTTCCTAGTGAACCAGTAGGAGAAGCAGCTGCAACTGCTTGTGCTGTAGGAGAAGCAGTGGCTGATGAAGAGGATGTTTGGATAAAGCCAGCAGCCCTCCGGTAATTGATTCCCAACACATGCATCTAAGGGTGTGATTAAAGAAGACTATAGAGTACGGAGGTTTCTTTGCTAACAGAGAGAGAGAGAGAGAGATTCTCTTCTTCGTCCCACGTCAAATCATGTCGATGGGAGTAGTCCCGAAGTGGCAGTGTCCATATACATGGTTGAGCAAATTATCCATAACATCGTTTAGAGAAACCAAATTAAACACAGGAAGGTTGGCTCTCATGCAAGGATTGAAGACAAAGAGACTCAGACGGGAAAGTTGATGCTACGTAACTTGAAAGGTCACTGATCTGGCAAATGTTTGACATGACATTTCGTCCACTTAGCATGATGCACGGTGCACTCTGTAAAGAAGATGCACGATGTGACCCGTTCTTTAATCCAATAACTCATTCATCATAATAGATTAACTGCAGTCATGGCAATATGGTTCACATCAATCATTCCACTTTCTTCACATCATCACAAATCCAGTTGGATTGGACCATGGGGAATTAGATATTTGGCCTCTACGTACCATTATGCTACGTGGAGCTAAGGCTTCAGCATGAACATTTCCTAAGGTTTTTGTACCATTGCTGCATGTGGAAACCACGTAGTGAACATAGATGTAGAGTTTGTGTGCTAATTTGAGTCCCCACCCGAAGCATTAATGAAGATTTCAAGATCTGTCATCCCCATATCAAATAGAATCCACAGCGGACTGGATCGAGAAGCCATGCACGTATAGATGAATGGGTTTGAATCTTAAACGGTAAACGATGATAAGTAGGGCTTCTGCTGAAACTGGCACTACATCCTGAGGAAAAGAACAGCCCCCCCCTCTCTTCACGTCACTGCAACTGCAGATATAGATAGATAGATAGAGAGAGAGAGAGAGAGAGAGAGAGAGAGAGAGAGAGTGGGAAAGAAAAGACTGCAAGAGCGGGGCCGTCGACGCCGTCGGGAGAGGGAAAAGCATGCATGGGAAGGCCGCCCGCGCCGAGGCAGGAGAGTCGCCCGGGAGTCCCGCGTTCCCTCCTCGCCAGCTCCGCGACCCGCCCGAGTCTGTGGAAGTGACAGGACGCTGCATGGTGGAGCAAGCAGGCTCCCGTCGTGTCGCCCCGCGCTGGCTCGCCATTTCCCCATGCTGCACCTGCCGCTTCGACTTGCTCCGAGAGAGAATATTCTTCCCTGTATCATCTGGTGTTTCCCTGATAGAGAAAAATAGACCGAAGAAGAGGGAAATCTCAAAGCTTCTCATCTTAAAAATATTAATGCAACGGAGTAGTTTTTTGACATGTCGTTGCATATTTCTTTTACCAAAACATATATTAATTCTTTTTTCTAAACATATATTAATTCACATTCGGAATTGTTCCAACACATATTGTTGCCTTGCCCGCTGAACCTAAATATTTTACTTTGTTTGTTTATGGAATTTTAATTTATATTTTAATTTTAATAATTTTATAAACTATTTTTATATTATATAGTATATTTTTTATATAAAGATTATAAATATTGAATATAGATTTTAAATATTTCAAATCTATCAATAAATAAATATATTTAACTAGATGAATCTTAAAAGAAATTTTTATTAGTTTTATCTTCTCATTTTTATTAAGAAAATAAATATTTCTATCAAAGTATTAAAAAATTAAAAATAAAAATAATAGGATTTGCTAGCAATAACATAATATAAGTAGTATCCAAAATCTGATTTAAATACAAAATATAGCATTTATGGATACATAAGAAATATATTTAATCTTTATTTTTGAATATAAAATTCAAAGGGATGAATTAGGAAATGATCGTTTAAATCATATAACTATAATGAAATACACAATCAATCAATATTTATAAAATCTAAAAAAAAGAAAAAACAGTTTGATTGATCTTATTTTTTGAAGTGAGAGATTCATGTGTCGAGATCCTGATATATATATTCAACACAAGAATATTATCTTTAAATCACATCATATATTTAATTTGATATAATTTTTATTATTCTTGTACTTGAGATTGGGAAAGAACATCGTAATGAATCAATAAATTTAAGTTTTTTTGTCATCTTATATGTGAACAGTAGTGTAAGATCATATTTATTTATTTCGATGATGTGTATTTGGTTTTATTATTATTACATTTAAGTTATTATCTTTCTTTTTTTCTCTTTCATCTTTTTATTTTCAAAAAAATTTCTGCTCTTCCTCCGTAGTAAACAATTACTGCTCATGGAGATTTCACAACAATGATGACTTGTATAAACTTTATCACGTATCAATCCCCCTCTAGCAAACATAAATTGATAGCATCAAGGCAACTAGTGCACATTAGTTTGAAGAGATTACAAGTTAGACCTCGTACTACAAATAGCTCGATATATTTGTGTATGTATGCATGTATCTATGGATATGGAAGTCTTTCTTCGTTAGTAAGTTTTTTCAAAAAATTATATTTATTTGGTTTATATATTTTTGGTTTCAATAGCACAACAAAAGAAGTCAGACATTATTATCGGGTTGACGAGACTGGAAGAACTTAATCAACTGGACTTAAAGTCACTAAAGTATAGCAGCGGATTACTACTCGACACCACGGTTGCTGGCTGGCGTTGTGGGGTTGGAATGAGCTCCAATTCTAAGCACTCCGGCGACAGCAGCCACAAAAAACAGAAAGGGTCATGCATGCAGCAAATAGGACTCAGCCAGCGCCTCCTGTCACCGACCGAGTGCAGTGCATGCATCCATGTGAGGTGGGAGCCGCTCTACGCCTGCGGTTGTTGCCTTCGTCTCCTCGTAGGCACGGCAGGAGTTGGGTGGCCGTCACTTCACGTCTGTGGTTTCCCCACAACACATAGCAAGAAGAGACAGCTTTCGAGCTTTTTTCCTATGCTCGAGCCTCGCAGGTGTCACTGTTTCGTTGGCTCGGGTCGAGACAAAAGCCTGAGGTCGGTTCTTAGTTCTCATGTTTGGGTCTAATGGGGTTTGGGTTTGTGCTTTGGGCTGGCAAAAAAGAACCGCTGTCATTTTAGTTGCTTTATCCACACAAGCATGTCAAGAATCTTAGATCATGTGTTCATTTTTCAGATATAATAGTGAATCTTTTGCATTCGAGTGGTGTAAGATAGATTGTGTTTTGCGTTTTCTCCATATCACAATATTATTATACGTTTGAAAACGATCTCACGAAAAGATAAAATAGTAGTAGAGGAGATACCTTAAAACTAAAAACTCATATCAATCGAATCTCTTTTTGACTTTAATTCATCGTGTTCTTTTAATCGTTGTATATCTAAAACATTCGATTAGTACTTGTAAACTCAAGAATTTAACTTTCGCTCGGATAAAAACTCCTAAATCAAAGAATTTAATTCATATTCTGTACGCAAATAAAAAGAAAAGAGAGGCAAGTAATCGTTTCACACTAATCAACTTTATGTTGGCACCGTCCAATTTTTAGTATCAAATCATGCATTGTGACGTGCGGAATATTGCATTCATCCTCTTATTATAAACCGCACATTGTGGCATTCGGAACACATCACAGATGCTCTCATAAATCACTGCAAAAAGATGCTGATAATAATTATTTTAATTCACCCCCCTAATTGATGTGTACACATGAAAGTGGAGAACAGAACATGTTCTTCTCCGAGAATTCCGCTGAATCCCTTCTCTGATGGAGTCTCATAGCTTATCACAGCAGCGGTGGGAAGGAGATGCAGCAGCCGGATCCTAAGCAAGACTTGAAGAGACACCTGACGAATCACATGCCACCAACTCAGCCGTCTCACACACGTGCCCCGCGTTGCTGATCAATGTGAATTCGCCAACTGTGCTCGAAAGCCTGAACCCTATTTCTAGGCTTGGGCGGCCGAACTGTCATCGTCTTATCCGCGGTTCCTTCATATCCAAAGATATCGCTCCAAAGACATGTCGTCGTCTTATTACACCTCTCATGGAGAAATATATAGAAATAATCTACTTTGCGACTGCAAGTTTTATGACAATCTCCTTATTCTATATTTATCTCTTTTTTTTTGTTTCATCAATAAGAAAATAAGTTATTTCTATTCCGATCGATCAATGTATTATTTTAATATAATAATATTTTTATTTTTATTTTTTAGAGATGCACAGATAATGTATACTAAACACAAGTGTTGTTCTTGAGACAGATAGATAAATCTCTCCATGTTTGGATCAAATGAGTTCATAATGTATATTATTTTAATATAGTAAAAATTTATTTTAAATTTTTTAGAGATGAACAGGTTGGTGACTAAACGCCAGTGTTGTTCTTAAGACAAATAAATCACTCCATGTTTGTGTGGTAGCTTTTCCACATATATATATATATATATATATATATATCCGATTTCGCCAATGAAACTGTTCCCAGTTTGAGATGGTGAGTGTCTTCCCTAGCTGACATGCTGCTGGATGAACGAAGGATTCAAGAAGTAGGGCTTTGGTGCCACCAGGAGGGGTCCGGCGTAACAATCATGACCTCTGGGGCCGTCGCCGGCACGCTCAGTTCTTCTCCCGCAGGTAGGGCACATGGTGAGGCTGGCCGCAGCAGGGAAGTGCATGTAGAGCGGTGGTGCAGCCGTGAGCGCCTTCAGCTGCTGCAGCTCCTTCTGCAGTCTCTGGTTCTCGTCGCTCAGCTTCTCACAATACCTCTTTAGGATGGTGCTGTCGACTTCCATCTTCTTGAGCTTCGTCCTGCAATCAGAGCGTACATGTAATCTTGGTTTTCCATCTATTGATATTGTTGGAACCAAAAGAGGAAGAAAAGCCCGCACTCACATGTATATTTGCGAATAATGGAGTTTTGCTAGGGATAGACATATTATATATCCCAAAAGATTCGACGAGGAGATGCTAATAATTTTATCATAGGATCATAATATCTATATTCGTTAGTTTAAATTTTATACCCAAGAAAACAATAAAACCATGATGGAGAACTTATTAAGCTCATGAGGTTGAAGAAGAATAAAACAATTGAGGGTGAAGAGGATTGTATGGGTGTGTGTAACTTGAAGCAAATCTGATTGAAGTTGCATGGAGTTATGAGACAAACCTCGCCCTCCTGTTCTGAAACCATACTTCGATTTGCCGCGGCCGGAGATTTAGTTGCCCTGCCAGGGTTTGCTTTTGTTTCTGATCAGTAGTGGAGAGAAACCATGAGCATCAAGAGACCAGTTGGGAACTGTAAAAGCGATGAATCAAACAGGATAGAGGTAACCAACAACACGCTCAAGGTATGTGTTTACCGGGTTGATGGTGCTGTGCTCCTTGAATCTGTCCTCCAACAGAGCAGACTGCTCCTTTGTAAGCCTCAGCTTCTTCCTCACACCACCCTCGTCTTCCTCATCACTGCCTCGAGATGACAACCGCTCTGCCTCTTCTTCCTCGTCTCCTGCATGGTTCTCCTTCTTTACGCTCGGAAGACATGAGACCGAGGAAACAGTGCTATGATGCGAGGACACCCCTGCCGCGCTACCTTCCTCAGCTTCCACACCATGAAAGAGGCCTAATGGTAGAGAAAGTTTGCGAGAATTCGAGCAGGCTTCCTCGCCATGATCTCTCGACTTGTCGCTCCTCTTGCCAATGCACAACTCTAGAGCAAGGTTGATGTCACGGTCACCCTCTTGGCTGATGTCCATGCTTTCATGCTTACCTCTGTTACCCCTTCGACTAGTTCCTACCTAATATATACTACTCGTAAGAGAGAGAAAAGAGAGGTGAGGGACTAGGATTGTCAGTAAAGGAAAGGAAAGAATAATTGAGGGTGATGATCTCAAGTGGATGCTTACATGGGCACACTACAATGGGCGGCGGATTTCGCAAGTGGCAGCTCAACTCCCTAGTACGAAGGAACGAGGAGGTGAAGGACCACCTCTTGGGAATGGAAGGTGGGGGGAGATGAACTAAGATGGTCCACGCAGGGAAGGGCTAAATGACACAGTCGAACACATCAACGCTGAGAGTATGCCTCCTCTGCTTTCGGCTCATCAGCCGTCACTGCGGTGCTGCCCTCTCTTGTTCTTCTCAGCCGCTCTTTCTTTTCTTTGGCTTTACACGTAGGATCCAGTTTGGAAAGTCTTCTTGATGACGTGCCGCAATTGACTTTGCCAGCCTTATAGGTGTTTCAAGAACACCGGACACTACTCGAATGGTTTCTTTCTCTCTCCAGGTTAATCGATGAGCACAGGATCCATGATGACAGACAGGTTCACGCATCCAAATTCTGGGACCATCTTGCGCTCTGAGCTGTGGTCGTAGACTTACAGGGAGGATGCTTGTGACTGTCGAGAATAAAGTTAGCGTTTGTGGATTGAACGTTACTCCTCAAAGTCTCTTTGGATCGAATGTTACTCGTCACTGCTTATGCCTGCATCGGAATGTGTCGTATAGATGGACATGGGTTTTCGGTTGGTTGCAGGACTGCGTCCGCTGATACTGTGCGCACAAATCGTGCGCTGAAGTTGATGTCATTTCGAGGCAATGTGAACAACGAGAAAAAGAAGAAAGGCCGTGAGAAGAATAAGCAGCAAAGGAGGAGGCAATCGCATATATGCAAGAATAAAAGGGAGGAGGGCGGTGGTGGTGGTGGCGGTGATGATGCTGATGATGATAAGATGTAGATGGATGCATTTCATTATTCGAGTGAAAATACCTCACTTTCACGCACCAGAAGATGCAGACAGATACTGCAGGAGAAGAAGAAGGGCAAGCATACATATTTGTTCTATCTCTACGATAGAGGTTCCTCCCTCCCATATCCTCCGAACCGAAAGATGGTAAAAAAAGCTTTGACTGAAGGTTACCGATGAGAATAAAAGGTTTAATGGATGTTACACTGATCCGTCGTTGAGTTGAGGTGGCCGAGAGGGTGACTCGGATGTTCATCAAAAGAGAAGACTAATGTTAGATTAGGTTGTTCTCAAGTTAGGACGGAGGCAGGCAAAAAAAAGGTAAAGTCATAGTAATTGACTTTGGTGTGCCGAGAAGAATATTGGAGGTAAAGTCAATATAATGAGTGTTTTGAGAAAATATGGTGATGTACCGACAATCAAGAAGGGTTGTGGTGGTGGCAAAGCTAAGAAAAGAATATTTTCATCCAAGTGGAAAAAAAGGGCATCCTTATGTCATGGGAGCAATAAAGTCAAGATGATGTTTAACACTTATTCTTTTCGGTTATTATTTTCTATTGTTTTCTGATTTTTTTTAGTGTTTTTTATACGTAGCATGTTTGCGGCTAAAAATACTATCATCAGTCCTATTTTTGTTGTTATTAATGTTTTTGTTTGTGTTTATGTCATATAACATTGAAAATATTTATACTATTCTTATGTGTCACGAGCTAATTTTGAACTAATGACCTAACGATATGAAATATCAATCATCTTAGCACCTCGGAATTCTTTAGGTGGCACTGAGACGGATTGAGTTTTGGGTTTATATTTGAGGGGTTATGTGTTCACTTTTGTAGACTTTTATCAACGAACATTAGGAGACTCCTTTCGTTCAGCCTATTTTTTAGACCCTTTTATGCCTAGTGAAAGCAAGTTGCTTTATGTTGCTTATGATCGGTGATCTTGTCATTTTCGTGCATGATAACGACAAATTACCTGCATGTTTATTTTATTAAATTATTTTATTATATAAATGCTTTGTAGATTACACAATATTAAGATCTATGTTATCGTAGTGAACGAGTACTATCGCTTGGGTGCCGTACATTTTAGGCAATCCGAACTAAGATCACGAGACTTAGGTAAAAACTAATTAAGGGAGTATATTCGAGTAAAAATATACTTTTTTTTTAGGTAAAATATCCAAATAAACTAATAACCCGCCTCGTGGCAGTATCGATGTTCGATTCAGATCCATTTGAGTACACCGCGCCGCCTTATCCAATCTTTACAAGCTTTCCGGCATCCTTTTTTCTTTTGATGATACGGAGGTCCACAAAAGAAATGTGGACATTTCAGTGCATGAATTCCACACGCGGGCAAATGGAATGCCCTCTCCAATTGCTTTACGTCTAATCCCTTTCAATCCACCCGCATCTTCGAATTGTTGGATGACAGATACCAAATTAGATGAGAGGAAAGCATTTGGTCGATCGAACACATGGAATCTCCCTCCCACATCCATTGTACCCACAGCATCATAGACCTTGTAATTTCCAATGTTTTTTGTTCTCCTTAGCTTTTTGTTCTCAGAACGTTCCAAAAGCTTAAAAGATTCAAAGCTAATTGCGGTTCCATCCCAAAGCTGACACATCATGATGCTTCCTTTTTCCTTTTTTTTCTTTTTTCTTTCTATAATATTATTCTTTTCATGGTCAATATTAAAGGAATATTTAGTGGGTAATTGACTCGAATTTGATTATTTGGTTAGGCAAGCTAGGAATATTCACATCTCAGTGCACCATTTATTTAATGGATGTTTACGACAGAGGTGAGCTCACAAGTTTTTTTTTTAAAATAAAAAATATATTATTTTAAAAGTCTCTTACAAAAAAATTTCATGTTTATCGAAGCACAAAATAGACTATAACTTTAGAGGCCAGTCCTATCTCGAGATAATAGAATTTTTTAGAAGATGTAGTCTAATTTGATAGTCAATGAGCATTATAGTAAACTTATAGTCGATGAATAAGTAATTAAATGAAAAAAAAATACTCCTATAATAGCTCAAAGATGAATATTCAAGGTGAGCTCATAAGTTTTTAAGAATCTAATTTTGTGTTGATAATTATCTTATTTGCATGATAATATAACTCGAATTCTCAACATAAGTGGTAGGACCAATAGTTAGGAATATTCTTATACTCACCGAAGTTTCCTTGAAGCTTCCTATGGCATGGGAATCGATTTTCGTAACCATCGAGAGAACTCTTATGTCTCATGGCTGAGAAAACATCATGTCTAATGTTATGATTCATACGAAGTGATTACAGTATGGAAAGAATGATTTTGAATAGTTGGATTCTTCAAAGAACATTGAGATATGCGTGTTTGTAATCCCTTTCGTTCTTTCCAAGTTTATCGATGATCCCCAAGATCTCACACACGAACACTATCGACACCCGTTGAGATGCTCTGTCAACCCAACATGCTAATCGAGTGGGTCAAAGTGGATAGCACAATAATAATACTACAACGCTCTATACTTCCTATACGTCCACACGGATGACTTCCTACGTTAAAGGCATATCCGACTATAAAATTGCTCTAGCAAAATAACTCCTCTAAGTATCGGCATGAACTTAGCCTTTTTTGTAAGTATAAAAATGACGATTATGTTACTATTTATTATGTGAAAAATTTAAAGTTTAGAAACTAAAATCAAATAACAATAGATCAAATATATGATCAGTACTTTTTTTATATCATTTGAAGAGCTTTTATTCGAATTGGAGCTGAAATCTGCACAAACATTAATGCAAATACTTTAAGAGTACGGTAAAATATAAATATGAACCTAACAAGCACTAAATAGTTGAGATCCAAAATAATCGATCATGCATAAATATATATTATGCACGAATGCCAATATGACACCGATTGCAAGATCGAGCGATGACCCATCCTTAGACATATAATTGAAGCTCCATCGAGTTTGATGCCACCCGTGTGTCATGAGGATATCAACTAGAATTCAACATGTGGCAAATCAAAATAAAGCTGCATATTTTACAAAACAAAAAACACAAGATAAAATACTACGAATAGCAAAATAAGGATAACAGTGCTACTTCATGTGGAGGAGACCACCAATTGGGCATAAAACATTCGACATCACAGCAATAATATCAAATCATTATAAATCAAATCAAATCATATCTATCTAGTATCGCAATTAAAGCCTGATCAAAGACAGTTCTATATAGTTAGTGGTACGAAAATCAATTTAAAAAAATCTACTTCTCAAATTCACAAAAGCTCAATAATGATTATCACTCACATGCTAACAAGATTTTTTATTATAAATAAATATTACTTAAATATTTGCCTTCAAAAAAATAAGCATGAATATCAAATTCTTTTTTATTATTTAAATTAATTTAATCCTCCAATTGTTCAATCCGATGACATATATAACACATCTATCAGAATCCAACAAAAACACTTTAACCCTTCATAACTATATATCATATATATATCCTTGACATTGAATATTTTATATATAAAAATATATATATTGTAGTACAATTTAACCCTTCATAATACACCTCTATATTCGCTATTCTTGTTTGTTCCTGATGCGTTGAGGTGGCGGGAAAACGGTGTCATCCAACACAGTAAAAGATAACAGATAGCAGTAAAAGACCGGCGTCATCCGACCACAAAAGTCGCAAGACCTAAAATTAATTTGTACGCCACTGTCTTCATTCTACATTAACAGCCAACATCAAAACAACGCATTAGCACATAACATCTGAAAACCACGTGATCATGATCCAATGTACCAAAAAAATCGCATAGTTGCTTTATCACGCAAACTATATAACGCAGAGTTCCAGGATTTGATCTTGAATATCAGAGAGAGGATACGTTTGTTGTTCATGATAGCTCAGGTGGGCGAATGCCATTCACTGAAGACGCATATTTATACTGAAAAACATTTTAGCGACAACAAGTAAGCAACAATCGATATCGCTCTCGATGGCTAGAGGTACAAAATTGAATAG